CCTATCTAAGAGGCTTTGAAAAAATATCCATATATATATATATATATATATATATATATGACCCATTATATGCTTTAAACTTATGATCGGCGATTATGGATGGAGACAGTACTCTCTTTAGCTATCTCTTACAAATTTATAATTCTAATTGGATGTTACATAGTGAGTTACCTAGTGGATGTGTTAATTAATTGTGTAATTATAAATCCAAAGCTATAAGAGTAATTTAGGCATTATTAGGCTATTGAATGTCAAACACACATTATGATTTTCTTTAGCACGATTTAAGGTTTGGCTATATGAAATTATGATCAATTCTTGATAAATAATAAGAACGCTGTTGTAATTTGACATTGATATATATACACACACATGAGTACATTTCAATGAGACTGGCCACATGACCTATAAAGGCTTAATTTACGCTGTAGATTAATGCACCCTTAGAAAATTTGTACTATTTTATATCCTTAACTCATCCACTCTATTGTACTATTTTATATTCTAAGGAATGCGCAACAGTACATATCTATCATATATTATAATTTGATGATCATTATATCTGTTTGTACATTTCATCCCATATCTATGGTACAGCACTACAGCTGGCATGAATAAACAATTAATCCTAGTATCCATTTGTTTTAAAATTGATTTAAATTAATATTAAAATGTTAAATATAATAAATTTGTGTGCTTAAATTATTTTTTAGCCTCGAATTTTATATTAAAACATGTATAAATTTAGAAATTAGTTCTCCACGCAAAACAAACAATTCCGGTGATTCACTGTACAAAAACCTAAAGTGTAAAAAGAATTTTTATTTAATTGAAAGAAATGAGGAAGGAAATAAAGAAGAATCCAGAGTTTTGATAAAATTTTAAATGCGTTTTTATTGAAAAGAGATATATAAAATAATGTGTTTTACTTTGAATAAAAAACTCTAAGGGATGGTTTGTTACACAAATTTTTTTTTATAACTTTTCTGAGAATTTGATATAAAGAATATTAGTTTTTTCGTTAATTTGTTATTTAAAAATTAATATTTGTAGGAAACATTATTTCTCTGAAATGAATTTTGTAGGTTTTTCATGAAATTATTAGCATGAAAGAAATAGAAAATTAACTTTTTTGAAGTAAAAATAAATTTTAAATACAATAAAAATGTCATATTATTTTTATTTATTTATTTAATACAGTAAAAATCCTTTATTTTTATTAATATTTAAAAATATTTTCAGCAATATTTATGATCAATCAAACAAATTTTCATACTTTTTAAGATCATGATTTCTAGACATGAAAAAATTTATTATGTACTAAAAATCTCCTAATTTCTTAACAATACTATACATTATTTGAAAGTATGTTTTACAATAAAATTGTATTAAAAAAATAAAATAAAATAATTTTGTTTGTATTTAATTAATAGACAATACATTATTACAAAATATCTAAGTATTAGATAAAATATTTATGATCAATGAGAGAATAATTTGTTATCTACAAAATGATATAAAACTTTTAAGATAAAATATCAAGAGTATTACAAATTATACTACAATTAATAAAAAAAATTATAAATATTAATTACTTAAAATAAATATTTTTCACCATCGTTTGACATGAAATTTATAATATAATCTTTCATACATTTTTTAATAAGGTTTATCATTATACATTATGCGTATAAGTCTAGTAAATATATAAAATTAAAGTTGCTTATTGAAATAAAAATATTTATATTTAAAAATATTTACTATTATTATTTTTGTAACGACCCGGCTGGTCACTACACACTACACCGTACACCTGAAACCGGACAGAAAAGAACAAATGGATACATATAGTGTCTAGAATATACATATATACATGTCCAGATCTGACTAGATTCAAAATGTACAAGAATTCATCCAGAACTACTACTTCCCTGACCCTACGCTCCTGTCTCTTCTGAATAGGAGTCCACAACTTCAACAATGGAGAAAAAGAGGGAGTTGAGAAAATGGGAGAGTGAAGAGAATGAGTGAGAGAAAGTGAAGGAGGAAAAATGGGAGAAAGGGGGTCTCACAATTTTAAGTAATTAAAAGTAGTTAAGAGTGTGTATTTAAAGTCCTTTAATTCATACATAGGACAAAAAATATGTATAAAATTAGATTTTATCCAAATATCGTTTTTAAGGAAGATTTTATCCAAATATCTAATAAACATTTTCTTTCATTCATTTAATTATTGGTGATATTTCAAATTACACGCGTGTAGTCAAAATTAATTTTTCTAATAATTTACTTAATTAATTTTTATATATGCGATATTGACATTTCTTTTTATTTGAATAATGCGAGTATTATTTTATTCCACAATAACTTTGACATGTTTATATATTTCACAATCACTTCCTTTAATTTGAATAATTCACTTAATTATTTCATTACACAATTTAAAAAAAGAATGACATGAACAACTTGAGAAGATCTGCAGTATATATCAGTATGGCACTATGGCCTGCAACTGACTAGTGTCCATGATAAGAATCCTTTCCTTTAGTTTTATCCCAGGAAAGTAAATTAAATTAAATTAAAATAGTTTAATAATGGTTTACTAAAAATAAAACAAATAGTAATATTATATATGGCACATAGCATAACCAACCTGGATGGATGGATAAGGGAAACTTGGATAATAAATTCAAAGGTTGCATCATCTGAAATTTGAGTAAAAGGGTTGGGGTTTTGCAGGAAAGGTACATGGAATTGTCTACTAGTAGTACTAAGTGGGCTCACTGTTTGATCAAGTTCTTAATTTCTACCATTGACCCATATTTTGCATCAGTATAATTCAACTAATTAAAGAAAAAAATTATCAAACAGTGACACACATTGATGGAAAACTCCACCTAACTGAAATATTTATATCCCTGAATACATGAATAATAGCAGCAACGCCCCCACAAACGTGCATGATTTGCGTGTTGTATATATGGTGTCACGTATGCTTGTCTCTGTTTAACGTGCCAAAAGGTTAAGTGTAAAACTTTTTATTCATTTTGGTGTATGTGTTTAGGTTTCCTAAGATGATGACATCTTCAGATAACTCATGAAAGCTCTGATCTACAGAAATTATTGTTACTCGACTAACATTGTTTGATAAATCAAATCAAGATAAAGGAGGGTTCATTATTAATTCAAGCAAGACATGAGACATGGACCAGGATATACAGTGTTTGGTAGGGAGCAAAATATTGTAATTAAGTGAAATCGTATGGTATCAGCCGACAGAGTTGCATGGCTGTTAAGTACTCATAAAATGTTCTAAGAGGGTATAATCAGAAAATGGTAAATTGCAGACATGTGCAAATGGACACACACATAGAATGAGAGTGTGTGTGAGATGCATTTGGTAACCGATGAATAATACTTTAAAAGTTGGTTTTTTATTCTTGCATTAAACTACAACCCATTTTTTAAAAATAACATCAGTCTATTTTAATAATTATTGTTGAGTTTATAGAATCAACTATAGATTTTTAGTTTTACAAACTATTTAGACTGACATAAAAAGATATGTTAGATATATAAGTAAAGAGTAATTCTTAATTTTGTAAAATTAAGGTAGATTCATAATATTTTTTTTTTTTTTTTTAAGAATAAGTAGCTAGAGTTAGATATGAAGCAGGAGGTGTGTGGTTATGGGCATGTGATGAGAAGGGGTAGGCTATGATGTTGGCAAAGGATGGAAGTCAAGATGGGGGTTATTGGGAGCACTCAGAAAGACATGTGGTGAAATCATCAATGGCCTTATGATTTCCAAGTTGATGAAATGAAGGGTGTGTGTGTGTGGAAATAATTGTGCTGGCATCAGTGAAACAATCCTTGGTGGTTCAGTTTTTGTCCAGCTGCAAAATCCAAAAGCCTGGTTTCTACTTTCTGGTCAATATTGTGTTTGTTAGTGTTAGTGTTAGGTTGATCTAGCTGTCATAGCAAAAGCCCATCCCTAAGAATTTCATTCTATTTATGACCCAAACCAGATACAAACTGCTATGGAATGGGCTGTTTGAAAAATGATAAGAAAATCTAGGAAAAAAATCATAGCCCATCCTTCAATAAATAAATCCACCCTTTTTATAGTATAATAAAAATTATAGTACACAATATAAAGAATAAGGTTCCCATTTCCCTCTCTTTTGTAATAGTTCATCATCTATGTTTTTGTTTTGTCTTCAAATGTGATTAATTTTCGCAATCTAGAAAAAATTATCATCCTCTCCTTATTATAATTTTAAATTATAAAAAATAATATTTTTTGCTAATAAATTAGAGTTTTCCTATTCATACAAAAAAATTGAATATATATATTCATAATGTTATTTATGTCAATTAATCATTTATTTAAAACATATTAAAAATGATCAAAAAAGTTTCTTAACATTGTAATACATTGAATTTCCTCTTCTTTAAAACTATTCATACAATTGTTTATTTTATTTTAAATTATAATTATAATACAACTATTAAAATTTTAAAAGCTTTACTTAGCTTCTGAATGGTTTTATTTAAATTTTACATTACATTTTATACTTATTTTTCTTTTATTTAACGATATGAATAAAATATAAGAGTTATCGATCCTATGAATTAACTTACTAGTTAATAAGTAAATAAAAGACCAACACATTTTATTCAGTTCAAAAAAAAAAAAATTCCCCAACATTTATTGAAAAGATGAAAATCATTTTTTGCTTCAAAATGTAAGAGTTATCTGTTATCTTATGAATTAAAATACTAGTTAAATAAAAGCAAGTGCAAATAAATCCCAAGATTTATTGAAAAGATAAAAACAAAAAAGCATCATGGCTTCGCCCGGACTCGAACCGGAGACCTTCAGTGTGTTAGACTGACGTGATAACCAACTACACCACGAAACCTTGTTGTTACTACAGCCTCAAAATAAAATATATAACAGTTACTTAAGATTGAAAAGTTATAAACGCTGTTCGTGTGTGCTTGTGGGTAACGAAGAGGTGAAGCAGCAGAAGAATGCTCCGTTCAACTGCATTCCCGCCACCGTACAATTCTGCGCCAGTTACCTCTCGCGCCCACACGTGTCACTCTCTGCCACCCGCACGTGCCCTTCATTCTCGCTCTTCTTTCGTTTCGCGCCTCGTCTTCCCACAATTCCGGCCACCCCGCGTGAACCTTTCCGGCGGCGGATTCGTCACCTCCACCGCGAAGAGGCAATGGCGCGGCGGCGCTGAACGCGCGGGAGCGGACGACGGTTTCGGCGAGGACGATGATGATTTTGGTGATGAATACGACGACGAAGAAGAAGAATTTGATGATGATGATAGTGATGATGATGAGGGGATGCTTCCGCTGGAGAAGATGAATAAATGGTTTGAGAAGAAACCGAAGGGCTTTGGTGAAGGGAAAGTGTACGACACTTCGGTTGAGGATAAGCTGCTCGAGGAAATGCGCCAGAGTAGAATAGCTCAGGCTGAGAACTTGAAGAGGCTTAAGAGTAACCCTGTGAAGCATGCTTCCAACGAAAGAACTCAAAAGAAGAAAGGTTAGCCACTAAAAATCGTTTTTTTTTAATAATTTGAAATTTTGTTCTTGTGTTGCGCCCGCGCCCTTCAAGCTGCGGTGTTCTAATTAGTTCAAAGTTGATTTGTTTGGTGAAATACTGAAATTATTCTGTGACTGGCGATGTGGTTTTGCTCATTTCTTTAGTCATGTGTCGTGTTTCTTGCCATTGTAAGTGTAAAGTGTTTTTCTTGGGAAGGGTGAATTGGGTAATGGAGTTTTCTTTTCTTTCGTGCATGTCGGGGTATGCTCATAAAACTGCTCGAGTTTCGTTGTGTGACTACTACAAGATGCAGTTGCTTAGGTGGTTATGATATTGTTTTCTGATTAGAATTGAGGTCTGTATAAATAAACTTATCTCGAATAGCTTCTAGAAGATAAAATTAGGAGAAAAGTTGAGATAGGTTTCTCCATAAGCTTAAATTAATCTTTATATAAGTTAATTTATAGAAACTCTCTCATATTTGCTTCACGAAAAACTTATCTTTAACTTACGTCAAGTTCTTGTTTTAGTTTATGGTTTCATTTTCTTCCTTTTTTTTTTCTAGAAGTTTTATGTAAAAGTTTATCCAAACAGACCCTTGAAAAACCTGTGTTATATAAATCTTTATTTATGAATGTGAAACTCCAATTCTAATGGGAGAGTAACACCAAAAATACTTGAAGAATTATATCTAAAAGTTTTGTGTATGACTGTATGACAAGATAAGACTTTTTCCCATGTGGGTGGTTAGATGAGTAAATATAAGCACATTGAACAATGCTGTAAACCAGTCTTTTCAACACTGATATTCTTGTTGGTCCCACTGGACTTGCTCTTTATGTAATGAGACTCAGGTGGAACTCACTTATTATTACAGGCGCATTGAAAACAGTGAGTCTGTTGTTAGCATTTCTCCGTATGCATTTTAAATCTAATTTTGGTTACCCATTCCCCTTGAATTATTTGTTCATTGAGGAGTGCACTTTCCATTTTGTTTTATGGTGATTGAAAAGAATTTAAGGACTCGTAAATACAAATTCATCATACTGTCTTATATTCTTCACGATGTTTGTCAGCCTTTGGATGAATAAGAAATCAATGTCCAAGAATGACTATTGAGTTGCAAAGTGTTTGCTTTTCATTTACACTGAGCTTACAATTTGAAGTCTGACTATCCATTGCCATGGAACTTTGCAGATGAAGAACTTGTTCGAATTGGAAGTCGAGTGCGCTTGGTGAACCTACCAAAGAAAAAGAACATCCATAAAGATCTGAAATCAGCTTTGCAAGGGATTCCAGGCATAATTAATATAGTCCCGGCTGTTACTGGAAACAAGAAGACAAGGGACCCAATCTGCAAGGGTTTTGCTTTTGTTGATTTCAAGCATGAAAAGGATGCGGCTAGGTGTGTTCTAACCTCAATCTTGTGTCTGCTTACAACCCCCAACCCCAGCAAAAATAATAATGAAGAATAACGGAAGAGTAAGTTTAGTCTGATACATGCAGTGCATGACATCATTGTAACAAGAAATTATCAGGATAAAGATATTTCTTTCATGAAATTTGATGTCTCTGTTTGAATATTTTGACATAGGACTCTAACACTCAAAAGTGTTTCCGTTCATTTGGGTCATGAAAACTTATAAAATAAGTGCACGATAGTTTTCTTTGCTTGGATGATTGATTCAAGCTTCTTCATGCTGTTTTACTTGGCTAAAATATAAAGAATGTATATGTGTAGTGTAGGGGTCTGTGCAATTTTGATAATTGTGCTTTTGTTATTAACAGAGTTTGCTGCTGGTACGGAGTTTAAGTTTTACTGTGCTAGTATCTTACTAATTCCATTGCTCTCTCCCTCAGGTTTGTAGAGTTATACACGGGACAAACTATTACCTTTGGTAAAATTCAGAAGCAGATAAAATGTGAGCTTGTAAATGTACATTCTTCATCTTCTTCTCTAAAATCAAGCGAAAACCTTAGTGCTGCTCCGAAACTTGAGGCCGCTGCCTTTGAAGAAGATTCAAATGAGGATTCCAATATGGATGATTCTGCCCCAACTTCCTGGGATGAGACCAATTCAGATGATTTGAATGACCTGGCCTATCAGATAGATGGAGAAGAACAGGAAGATGATGAGGATAATCGAAAGTCTGTCACTGCTTTGAGAGTGGATGGTGATGATAGTGCGGAAATGAGGATCGGTCCTGAAATTATTTCGCTTCCGTCAGACCAGGTTGACAGAAACCCCGCTTCTGAAAAGTCATTTGCCAAAGATAAACAGGAAAATGGCCGTAAAGAAAAACCAACTTCGAAAGAGAAAGCCAAAAAAGTTTTAGGTGTTCCCGGATCTGCAAGAAGGTGATTTCCCAGTGCATTTTATATTGCGTTAGCATGACTTGCATGCTTTGTTTTCTTTGCTCATGTGTACTTGTTTGATTCTGGTGCAGGTTAAAGATTAGGGAGAAGGCTGTATTAAGTGATGTTTTCTCCAAGTACGGATTGAAAGCTACACTTGCATCAAAAGATAGTTAGTAAATTGCCATGAGATGAGATTGCCGAAGTCTGTATCATCACACAGCAAGTAATGTCTAAAAACTAAAAGGTCACATTACATGCAATGGGACTTTTTAGTTGGCCATGGATGCCGGTTTTTGATTTAGTGTATAATCAAACTGTAGCATAGGAGTATTGTCGATAAATTGATTATCCTATATTATTATTTTTATGAATGACAATATTTTTTTCGTAGTATTTCAATGCATGGAATGATTGGGTGGGAATTGAGAGGTTTATTATACAGCTGTTTGTATAAAGTAGAAGTATTAGGAAGTTATTCATGTTTGACTTGGTTAATATCTAATCAAATGTGCTTTATTAATTTAGCAATAAGTTTAGCTCGAGTTTTATGTTGATTATATACGAGTAAATTTAAGTTTCATTAATTTCTCATTGACATGAGTTAAATTTGTCCCAAACTCTAATGTTGGTACGTATTTTATTAACTAGATATATTCAGATAAAAAAATTAAATTATTAAAAATAGTAGTGATTAAAAACATGTTGAAATGTATTTTTATTTATTAGTGTGTTAGTTTTAAATGTAATTTTTTTAACTATATAATATAAGCTTATTACCACATTGTTTTTGGTCTAATATTTAAACAATATTTATAGTAATGGTTTAACATTTTATCTTTCTAGCATAATTCATTATTATATATATTTTTAGAGATTTTATATATTTTGGTAAGTTTTACTAAAGTATATATTTCAAAAACCTTCATAATATATGCGTATATGTGTAAATTATTTTCAAGTACTCTTGCACAAAATTATTTGTTTCACATCTACATTTTAGAATATCATCTTCAGTGTCTTATTTTTCATTAAGGCAAATATTTACAGAAAATAAAATTTTAAATATACCATTAAGAAAATAAATATATTAAAAAGAATCAAGATATTTAAAACTTATTTAATTTTATTGTCTTTGTAGTAGACTAGTAACTAACAATAGGCTTTGCTTAGGCTAAATCACATATTAATTAAATTGAAGTTTTTCTTTGTGTAGTCATTTTTTTTTGAAAAAAAAATATTTACAATTAAATACAACTAATAGGAAGATAATTCATAAGGGAAGATGAAATAATTTCAGAATAAGTTTTTGCACATCTATTAAAATTAAAAATAAAACTTTATGATGTTGCTTTATTTTTATTAAGAGATAAGATTTTTAATATTGGAATTCAAATTTAAAAAGAAGATAATAATTATGTCAACAAATAAGAATAGGTAAAGTAGATGGCAAGCGGAAGAAGAGGCAAAATATGTGTAGAGAAATGAAAATTAAAAAATAAAATCAAAAGAAAAAAAAAGTGAGAGAGAGAGAGAATGGGTTTAGGCGGGACTTTTTTTTTTTTTTTCCATGAAAGGACAGTGTACCAACTAATACCTTTTTTATTAAGAGTAATTGAAGAGAAGTCGTATTTTAAAATACAACTTGTGATTTATTATTTTATTAACTGAATATTTTATAAACTTAAATTAATAGTAATGTTTATACTTTTGAGTTTGATTTATTAGTAATTTGTATTAATAAAATCAACTCTTCTTTAATTTTTAACTAATTTAATCTTCCTTTTGATTATTTTTATCATTAAATGATTGGTTATCATCATTTAATTATATCATTAATCTTTATTTTTTGTTTAACATTTGATTAGAAAGTAAATTTGGAACAAGTACGAGATGATACATGAAATGAAGAAATAAGAAGGTTTGAAGACCTTTCTTGAAGAACACCAGCATTGGGTGCTACTCCTATTATGTTTGACACCATCTTGTCAAAGAGCATTAGGCTCTCTAGCATCAGATGTCACTCTACCTATGTCTAATGCTAGCTTGGTAGAAAGTCTTCTCTTGTATTTCGCGTGCCTATGTTCAGCATGAGTTAGCTTGTACCAAGTGTCATTTTTTATGACGTGACACTTTTTTGCTCACTTTTTTCCTCTCTCTTAGGTTTTGTTTGGATTTGAAGATGGAAAAAGGGGAGTGGAAAAGGAGAGATTTGAAGGGAAAGTGAGTGGAAAGTGAGGTTGTTTGGATTAAGGAAAAGTAAGTGAAAAGTATAGAGAAAGTTTGTGAAAGTTTGTGAATGAATTGAGAGCTAAAAATAAATAAATTTGAAGTTCAGAATTCGGTTCCCCGAGAACCGAATTCTGAAACATGAACAGTAAAAGGTTCTATTTGGGTAAATAAAGTTGTACAGATGCTTTTTTGGTAAATTTTTTTAAAAAAATATTATTTTAGTAAAAAATTCACAAAAATGGGTTCAAGAGTTCTTTTTCTGGTTTGGGGGATGGGGTGGAGAGAGAGAAGGAAGAAAATTAGTAAAGAAGGAGCCCTCTTCTGTGCAGTGAAGCAACAGATGCAAGATTACCTTGATTATCCGCATTGATGTTTGAAAACACCTTAATCCCCTATGCCTGAGGCCTGAGAAGTGTAGGAAAAAAAAAAGAGAAACTGTTTACAGATGTGAAGTTTAGAAAGAGTAGCAAGCATGAAGTGGAAGTTTATACTTAAATTTGGCAAATAATAGGAAAAAGTAATTCCCAATTTCCGTTTAGGAAAAAAAATTGCTCAACCTTGGAAACAGTCTAACCAAACAAGTGGTTTTGAATGCTAAAAGAGAGATTAGTGGATTATTCATTGATAGGAACTTTTTCTTTTTTAACACAAAAACAATGGAGACTAGCTCCTTAAAAGAACAGAAAAAAGCTTAAAATAAAAGATAGATCTAGAGTTCTGTAGATGCACAGAACTCTGGCTGAAACACATTCCCTTTCCCACCCAATTCATGCCTACCCTGCTGTCTCCTTTCTCCTTTTAATTATCCTCTAGCAGAATTCACATGATCACCACTCCTTCTTGCCTCGTGGAAATTCTGTTATTTCCATTGCTACTATTCCCTTTAGCTACCTTACAGTCCATGTCCTTCACTTCTACATTCCTATTCAATCACTTGTTATGGTTATATTTCTCCCGCAAAATCTTAGATTATAATTCACTAATTCTCCCTTGATATTAATAGTAGTGTACTAGTAGTGTACATGTGTCAAAGTTTAAACGAAGTTCCATGTAGTTGTAGAACACTTTTGAAAATATTTTTATGCATAATTTTCAAATTAAATTGCATGTGAAAAAATATTTCAAATGTTGATTTGCGAATGATGAGATGTTCATGACATCATCCGTTCTGAATGGAGAACGGGCCGTTCTCCTTGCAGAACGGGCCTTTCTGCAAGGAGAACGCTCGTTTTGCAAGGAGAACGGCCCGTTCTCCATTCAGAACGGGTCGTTCCGGATGCAAAAATACACACATGACGAATGCATCAAAACGGGCCGTTCTGCTTGGGCGTTCCAGTTTCAAAAATAACAGATTATTCGTGCAAGCAGAACGGCCCGTTCTGCTTGGAGAACGGGCCGTTCCGGTTGCAATATTTACCCACAACCCGAATTACAAACAGAAAAGAAAAAAAGAATTTAAACACTTCTCAGAATTTGGTTCCCCGGGAACCGAATTCTGAGCTAAAAATAAATAAATTTGAAGTTCAGAATTCGGTTCCCCGAGAACCGAATTCTGAAACATGAACAGTAAAAGGTTCTATTTGGGTAAATAAAGTTGTACAGATGCTTTTTTGGTAAATTTTTTTAAAAAAATATTATTTTAGTAAAAAATTCACAAAAATGGGTTCAAGAGTTCTTTTTCTGGTTTGGGGGATGGGGTGGAGAGAGAGAAGGAAGAAAATTAGTAAAGAAGGAGCCCTCTTCTGTGCAGTGAAGCAACAGATGCAAGATTACCTTGATTATCCGCATTGATGTTTGAAAACACCTTAATCCCCTATGCCTGAGGCCTGAGAAGTGTAGGAAAAAAAAAAGAGAAACTGTTTACAGATGTGAAGTTTAGAAAGAGTAGCAAGCATGAAGTGGAAGTTTATACTTAAATTTGGCAAATAATAGGAAAAAGTAATTCCCAATTTCCGTTTAGGAAAAAAAATTGCTCAACCTTGGAAACAGTCTAACCAAACAAGTGGTTTTGAATGCTAAAAGAGAGATTAGTGGATTATTCATTGATAGGAACTTTTTCTTTTTTAACACAAAAACAATGGAGACTAGCTCCTTAAAAGAACAGAAAAAAGCTTAAAATAAAAGATAGATCTAGAGTTCTGTAGATGCACAGAACTCTGGCTGAAACACATTCCCTTTCCCACCCAATTCATGCCTACCCTGCTGTCTCCTTTCTCCTTTTAATTATCCTCTAGCAGACTGGAAGACCCTAGGACGACAATCTGTAGGTTTAGAGGTCTTAGAGTAGCAAAAAATAAGAAAGTGGAGGGAATGAAGCCCAATACGGCCTCCCAAAAGTTCAGTACGGCCGTATTGAACATTTTAAACTACAATACGGCCGCACTGAACTCAATACGGCCGTATTGAAGTTTCTGAACTTCAATACGGCTGCA